CTTGGGTCGATCACCGGAACGGAGAATAGACAACAAACCCAACTTCGCCGCCGTATAGAAAAGACGATCAAGGAAGATCGGAGAAGGAGGCATAGGCGTCGAAAAGATGATGATGCCCTTGTCGCCATGCTTGGAAGCGCCAATTTGGGTAGCACCGCTGTACAATGAAACGCGTGGCCTCCCAGCCTTGTTTAGGTCCCTTTGAGCTACTAATACGTCTCTCTTTCTAGTCGAGTAACCTCTCTTTCTTTCTCCAGTGATGCGCCCGAGTGCGTGTGACGGGTTTCATTTTCATTTTACGCCATTCCTTTTTGTCCAGACGTTAACCTCTCCATGTCATACAGCACAGGAGAAAGAAGAGACTTTTGCAGAACCATCACAACAGAGCGTTTCGATGGATAACTTGTCGCCTCTGATCTTATTTATCTACCTTCACGACTCTCCTTCTACTTTTGCCTGCCCTCACGAAACTGTCCTCTCCTTTCTCCATAACTATTTCCCTTTATATATCATCAAATCCTCCACGCTCTTCCCAAGACTCTACGGTGGACGTCTTCAAAAAACTATTCCAATACACGGGAGCCAAGGGTCGGGATTTGGTCCATGTCGTTACGGCAATTCGATCGTTCATTCGGCGATTCCACTGTGACTTTTTTCTTTCTTTCACATCCCGGTGTTGTCGTTCTACTTTTACAAAGCCATCCGTACCGATATTGTAAGCTACCGTAACATCTGATGTCGATAAATTTCAATCGATGATATTTTCTATAACTCTTTGCTTTTCAAGATTAAACGGAGGTCCAGATTGATTGAAGGTGAGGTACTATTGCACGATATTATTGTTCGGTTGTACAGTTCAACAAGGGGGTACAGGAAAGATGAAGAGAAGATTGTTTGGTGAGTCCAATTTCCTTCCAAGTTCTTTCAAAGACGTTTCTACTCGTAAAAGTTCATGAGTCCCAAAGAGAAAAAGGTCCCGGTTCATGACTATCCCTTTTCCCTTTCTTCAGCATATTATTCCTTCACCTCTTTTAGTGTGGAGCAGGTATGAAGTGTCGACTGTCTTCGAGCTGTTGAGCAGCAGATTGCTAATGGAGTCTCAGCATTCGGTCTCTCCAAGTTGGAACGCAGAAAGGGTATTAGGAGTACGATAAACAGAAATAGACTAACCTTGAATGCTACAATTCCTACGAGAACTCCAAGTGCGAAGTAGATAAAGGCAACGATGAGCCAAATAATCCCCCACACTGTAAATCGCGGTCAATACATATCACTTTGGTATGACATTGGACAAATATAGATACCTCTAGCTGGACAGCATCCGCAAATCTTTGCGTATACGGCCGCATCACTGGAGTTGACCTAAGGAACCCAGAGGCACTCGATTAGAACCGTTCAGCATAAGGGGTTTCAAGATAGACGCACCTTGCGCGCGATTGTATCATCCACCACATCCCAAAGAACTGTAATGTATATTCAGGAAATGGTCCATCAAACGAGTATAAAGAGGTTGTTCGAAACTAGGACCTGAGATGATAGGAAAGAACACCTACCATACATGCAACTCATCACGCCTATAAATAGGACAAGGAATCTCAAGGCAATGGATTCCTTGATAAACCAAAAGGCGATAATGATACCAGCAAAACTTAATATAAGTACCCAGCTCCTACAAAGGGTATATCAGTAAAGGCTCAATTTTCCGCATGAGTACTACTAAGACTTACAGGACGTTTCGCCTCGACCAGAACAAGGCCAGTATGAAGACTGCGGCCATTACCAAAGTCGCGATCTTGGAGGCATTCGTATTGAATCCACAAGCGATCATACATGCCCCCATGAAGCTGCTCCCAAGGTAACCGGCCGGTAAAGTGATCAAAGGGATCCCACCAGACATCCTCGTAGCTCCCTACGATGTAGAAAATGATAGAATGCGGTTATAAGGAGATAAAGATGAGACTGATGTTGTGCCAAAGAAAGGTTGTGTGCTTACTCCTTCATCAGCTGGAAGAACGGTGAGTCAATGTTATCCTCAACATAAAAATAGAAAGTGCATACGATCTAGTTCTATCGAGTGTATCCTTGCACAAGTCAAAATTCCAGCAAGGGCGTGACTGAACTATGAACGTGCCGGTCCACCAAACCGGGGAAATACGTCAGTACTGAACGAACGAAAGTGTCGATCGACCTCCCCGGAGGGTTCGACTCACCTCGTGTAAAGCGACCGTGAGTAGCTTGAAAGGGTACACTATATCCGAAGAAAACGAGAAATTTCGCTCGAGTTTAGTATGGGCTCACTCTTCGCATTGAGCGCCGCAGACGTACAGACGAGGTTGAGATAGGGAATGTGCCATAAGATTGCAATAGCAACGATATAGGATCTACAAGGAATACATCAGTTTGCGATTTATTGTAATCTTGAAGCTGGTACGCACGCTCCAACGATCAAAGTGACTCGCTGTGTCTCGTTAGGCGTAAATCGGTCCGCAACGGCCCTCTTGTGGAGGTGCCAGTCGTATTCCTGATGATCTAAATAAGGCATTATTTACGATAGAATAACGACGCAGATGTGGTCGAGTTTGAGGGAAAGATGGACGAGGGGGTGGCCAAGTAGAGGGAGATGCACGACGCAGCCAGACTTGGCGAATGAATGTGTGATCATGACACCGCCACCGCATTCTCTGGTTTTCCTGTCCTCCCCATTTCTTTTCCGCCTCCATACGGCCCAGGCGGCTTGCCGGCGTCTCTTCATCTCACTAATCAACCTGTACAGTCAGGCTAATCTATTGCTGTTCTTTAGACTATTCCATGGGTGCACTTTGCTGGCGCCCAAGCGGCTAGCTGGGTCGTATACGTGTCCGAGAGTGACTGAGGCATCGCAGAGGCGTACTTGTTCACTGGAAGACTGGCGTAGAAGGAATACACGTGGCTATTGTCGAGCCAACATGATAATGGGCTCAACTATGAAAGTTGGTGAAGAGATGTTGACCGTTGTACCGAACTGGAGACGATTGATGCTGCTTCTGGTGAATGTATCATGTAGATAAAGCTGCTAATACCATATCCAATTTAAACATTTTGAACAGAGACGCGCGGCATGAAATGAGAAGGCCTCTGCCAGTTTGGCTTTACGTTTGGCATGATAACGAAGACCAATACCTACAGAGGACCAAGTGTGACATCTTCTTGTCTACGTATATTAGTAGAAAAGTCAACCTTCGTGCCAAAATCGGGGGAAGGACAAAGGTCACTGTGGTCTCCTTCGGTGAGGATTTCGATACGCATCTCGGAGTAATTCAATCTAACAGGCGACCAGATCCCTACTCGAATGGGTATTAATCCAAACCAGGGAGTTTCCAGTCAAATTGTGCAATGTAGCGAAATGAGATGTGGAGACTCCCTCTAAATAGATGGATATGATGCCATTTATGAGCCCGACTGATCATATTTTGCAGGGTGTAGTTGATATTATGAATTTCGTCCTCTTTGGCAGATGCACCACCTTGGGAGGGGACTCGACATGCTGCACCCAATAGGCGTACAATCTGCTTGTGCATCTCGTATCTGTGTAATCTATCCGCTGAAGAAAAGTACCAATGTATCAGCTTTCAGCGACTCTAGATTCATATCAACCCTCCAACTCCTCAACTCAGGTGCAGTTTCTCCAACAGAGATCTCAGTCAGTAACACTCCCTCACTCCAAGGCAGGATATATTCGTGACACTAACCTTCGAATCGCTCCATGCTTCATCATTTGCTCTGCCCTTTCCTCTTCACGATCCTTTACTGTTCGTCCCTTGTTCCACTTACACAAACCAACAGGTGTCGTTAGCAATCTTACAAAGAGTAGAGTCTAAGAAAATTTGAGTTAACTATAAATCGACGAGGTAGTAATAGGTTGGGCAACGCAATCATTGCTCAGTATGGGACTCCCCACAGACTGGATCGTACCATTGGGCTCTCATCACGCACGTTCAGGCCCAGAACTACCTTTCGTCTCCATCGAAACAGGAATCACAGGGACTCAAACGGCTGGATGCTTTTGAGGCTAATTTGGCTTGGCGATTCTCGTAAACTTTGTACGTACAAGTTGACGAGTACAATTTCATGTCAACTCTTCTCC